ACGTTCTGAAAAGACAAATTTTTGTGCAATGTGTTTAAAATTCTGCTGTGTGTCAGGAGCTCTTGGATTGTTTGCTAAATAACAATGCTGCACCGAGCTGCAGAGCCTCGGTTTCAGTGTATCTAAGGTGAAGCTGGAGGGTTCTCACCTGTCTTCCTTCCTTTTTCCCTCCCTGTTCCCTCCCTCCCTCCTTCCCTCCCTCATTCCCTTTCTTCCTTCCTGCTTACCCCCCCCCCCCCCCCAACACACACACTGATCTCCAGGATCTCCTGTAGCATGGAGCTGGCTTCAAACTCAGTATGTAACCAAAACTGACCTTGAACTCCTGATTCTCCTGCCTCTACCTCTCAAGTGCTGGGATGACATAGGTGAACCTCCATGTTCAGTTTCTGTATTGCTGGGATGGGACTTTCTTTGCACGTGTGGTGTGGTGAGCATTCAGCCTCAGCAGGAGCCTTGCATGTACATTTCTAACAGTTTCCCACAGTTCCTGAGGCTGCTAGCCCTGAAAAAATCATGAAAAGAGGGCAAACTCGAAAGAACGCCATCAGAGGAGAACAACGTCAGAGGTGCATTCTCTCATTAACCTCAAGTGTCCTCGTTAAACAGCCATGGCTCTCTTGTTTTCAACATTTTAATGCACCACCACTCCCCCCCCCCCCATTGGAATCACTTCTTGCTGGCTGCTTAGCAGTACACTGTGGACTCAGGTCCTGCCTCGGGTGAGTTGATAGCCTTCATATAGATCAGTACAGAAGCAGGTTTCTACATAGCCTTGAGAGGTCTAGTTTGTGCAGAACCCGAAGATGACCCAGCAGAGGGCGATAGTGGGGCAGAGATGGCTCAGATGAGGCCTTCATCAGCCTAGACGTCTGAAAGGGTCTACACCTGCCTGGAGTCTTCCTTCCTTCAAACCATGCATGTTTGGTTGTGGGGAGAAACTATGCCTTCTGTTAACATGAGCATTGGCCAAGGATAAGCTTGCACAGTCCCAAGTTCTAAGAGCAAAATGAGGAGGAGGTATGAAGCCTCTTTTCAAATATACCCTAGAGCCCTGCGGTAAGTCAGTAAAAAAGGACAGGGTTTTCTCAAAATTATAGACACTGGATTGACAAGCTATGCCAGTTTACACTTGCCATGGAGTGAGGTGTTGAGAGAGCTGGGGGCCGCTTCCTGCCGCCCAGCTCCCAGCCACTGGCTAGCTTAGCCCCAGAATAATTACACGGAAACTGTATTCTTTTAAACACTGCCTGGCCCATTAGCTCTAGCCTCTTACTGGATAATTCTCACATCTTGCTTTAACCCATATTTAGTAATCTATGTAGCACCATGAGGTGGCTTACCAGGAAAGACCTTAACTTGGAGAGGAGAACTATAGTGTCTGTCTCACTGTCTTCTTTCTCCCAGCATTTAGTTCTGTCTACTCCACCTATCTAAGCCGCTGTCCTATCAAAGGCCAAGCAGTTTTTTTATTAATTAACCAATGAAAGCAACAGATAGACAGATGACCCACCTCCATCATTTCCCTCTCTGAACTTAGCTCCTTCTAGAGTTTTGAAGGTTGCTTACAATGCACTTCCTGTTAACTTAGGTAATATTATATCCTGCTGGGGTCTTTGAGGGAGTTGAAAAATAGTTATAATAATAGTTTTTCTTAGTTATGGTAAAAGATGACATAGATATAAATATTGTTAACTACAATTCTTGCTTGATAACTGTTTTGTACATGTAATTTTACTATGTTAAAGTTAAAACCTTCTTTTATATTTAGACAGAAAGGGGGAGATAATGTGGGAAGTCCTTCTGTATATGTGTTGCTTTTATTGGTTAATGAATAAAGAAGATGCTTAGGCCTACAGCAAGGCAGAATAGGGCAGGGTGGAAAAATCTACACTGAATCCTGGGAGAAAGTAGATGGAATAAGAGAGATGCCAGGTAGCTGCTGAAGGAGACAGATGGCCTGAAATCTTGCTGGTAAACCACAAGCCTTGTGATAAAATATAAAATAATAGGAATGGGTTAATTTAAGATGTAAGAGCTAGCTAGAAATATGCTTAAGCTATTGGCCAAGCAGTGTTGTAATTAATACAGTTTCTGTGTGATTATTTAGGGTCTGGGTATCCAGAAACAAATGAACAGCCTCCACCTACACTCCCCAGCATTGAACAGCCCACCATCATCTGTTATCTGGCTCTGCACATGGTTGGGTATCCCTTACCTAGAGCTCTGCTGTAAGCCCCAGCCCCCTTACCAGGAATCCTGTTTCAGATTTAATCAAACCAAAGACTCTGTGTTCAAGGCATTTAACAGACTCCCTCCTCTCTCCAATAATTCTGATGCTTCCTAGTATTCAGAAGCCTTGGTTGGAAGCTTCTCCTCTCACAAGCATGAGCAGTTTTGGGAGTGAGGTTGTCTCAATTAAAAGAAGATTCTGAGGCTGAAGTTTTGAGGTGGGGTCATGTTATTTGAAAGAACTTTGGGGTGATATGGTGTGATGGTTTAGATTTGCTTTGGTAACATATGCCTCTTTTTTTTTAAACTTATGCTGCTGGGCAGACCCATAGAGGGACATCAGGGGATGTAACAGAGTCAGGAGCAGTAGGGGGAGACACTGCTCTGCTCCACACTGCCTGCAGTTCACTCCCATCCTCAGTTCCCTGGCCCTTTATGACGTCAATCCCAATTCTTGACTTCCCTGCAGGAAAGAATTTCCGGACAAGCCATTAGGAAGCAGAGCTGGGGATTAGTTTATTTGTTAAGCATTTTCAGAAAATTTAAGAACAGGAGTTAGTGGGCATGGAGACACATAGGGAAGGAGTGAGGCCCACTCCGGAGCACTAGGGTGGGCTGCCCAGGAGAGAGTCATTACGGAGTGACTTTGCAGTTGCTTTTGGTGGCTTCTAAAGTTAACCTCAAGGTTTACTAAGGAGTTCAAATAAGATCACGGGAGGGGTCCTAGGTATTGGATGGGATCCCTATAGGTAGGGTAAAGGCCTAGGTCACAGCACTGCAGGGAAGTCGGGGTCTTCTACTGTCAACAAAGGTTTACCCATTTAAGGTCTCCGGAAGTATTTGAGAACAGCTGAAGGCTGCATTCATGGGCATGTAGGTTTGGGCATGGTGTGTGGTTTGCTGCTGTTTGAACACTCTTCTCTGTACAGTTGCTATGTTGGCAACCTTCACAGCAAAGGCTCTCAATTGTGCTGTGCTGGGATTTCGGATTCTCAGCTGATAGGAAGCTTAGCCTATCCTCTAGCTAGAGCATCTGGGTCTCCTATGTCAGGTTCTCAGAGGGAATGGTGATTTCCAATGGTCAAGTCCTACAAAGAGATCCCTGCTCCACTTCGGGAGTGGAATAGGCTTTGTCCTACAGTGTTTCCCTCTTTGATATTTTAACTCTCTTGTTTACATCTAAGGCCTCATTTCATCATCTAACCTGATAACCTACATTTTGGTTGTCATGGCAAGCAGCAACATGACTTGTTAGCCTGGGTGTTCTTTCAGATTTTAGATTCAGCATCAGTCTGTCTACATATGGATTCCCTCCTCTGGGTCACTTTCCCCAGTGTCTGTCTGTCCTTCCTCCCTCCCTCCCTCCCTCCCTTTCTCCCTCCCTCCCTCCCTCCCTCCCTCCCTCCCTCCCTTCCATCCTGTGCACAAGAGAGTGTACATGTGTCTTCCTTTCTTTCTCCCTCCCTCCCTCCCTCCCTCCCTCAATCCCTTTTTTCCTGTGCACAAGAGGGTGTACATGTGTGTAAATGCATGTAAAGGTCAGAGATCAACCACGAGTTTTGTACCTCTGGTGTCAAACGTTTTTGTTGTTGTTGTAGAGAGGTCTCTCATCGACTAGAACCCACCTATCTGTCTAGGATGGCTGCACAGGGATCCTGTTTCTGACTCCACAACTCTGGGATGGGATCACGCTCAGGTGACTGTTCACCAAGCACTGTAGTGGACACCCTGCTCATAGACATAACTGAAGGAGGGCTGTATTTGTGGAGGCTACTCTCCAATGGCTCTGTTAAAACATGGTCTGCTGTCTTCATATTTTAGTGGCCACAGCTTCAAGGCCAGAATCAGGCTAATCTCAGAAACAAAAAAGATGTTTTCTTAACTACAAATGGTGAAAACACACTTTAGGTAAGATTTTTATAAACACCTGTTTCCTGTGACTAGCAGGGCAGAGATTTACTTTGAAAATCAACTTCAAGGGACAATGTCGTCTGAAATTACAGGACCCCAGAGACTTACTAAACAGAAAAGTCATAGTTTACAGACTCTAAAAGCTAAGCCAAACTTAGAGGAGAACCATTTTAGTTTTGTAGTCCTCTTACCGCCCACTAAGGACAAAGTAAGGGTGAAAAAGACTTCCTATCACAGAGTGCATTAATTCACGCGGCATGGTTGGCAGGGCATTTCTTGGGACCTCTCCGTGACAGATTGCCAAGTGATTAGTGTCATCAAGTTGAGAGGATCCAGACTCACCTGGGAGAGAAACTTCAGGCATGAGGGTGGGGAGATTAACTTGATTACTTAACTGATGTTCAAGGGCCTAACTGTGGGCCATACCATTCCCTGAGCAGGGGACCCTGGGCTATACCCATCGATCTGGGCAGCAGCATCCTCCACACCCCTAAGTCCTGGTTACGGATGTGATGGGAATCAGATGCTTAAGGTGTTTGCTGTCCTGCCTTCCCTGACGTGATCTCTGAGCCAGAACAAACCCATTTCTCCTGAGGCTGCTTTTGTCACAGCTACAGGACCAGAAAGTAAGACGCTATCTAGCGACAAACTAAGATTTATAGTGTGGTAGAGAGTAACTGTCCTATGGTGGGCGCACATTTTAAAGCAGAAGAATTCAATGTCCTGTCAACGAAATGGTTTTGAGTCATTGAATTTTCAGAAAATTCCAGTTTCTTGCCATCTATTCCACAAACTGTCGGTAGAGGGCAGCTGAAGGCTCTTGGCGAAAAGCAGGCGCCATTGGAGCCCCAGTGGCCACCGCAGCGACCGTGCTACTCCAAAGCCAGAGCTTGAGGAGGGCGGAGCCGGAGGCGGGAGGCCAGAGCAAGAGAGCACCGCGTGGGAGGACTGCGCAGAGCCAGGCGTGTGTACTGACGGTGCACGGCAGTGACACTGTGCTGGTGGTTGCAAGGCTGTGCAGAGCCGGGGCGGTTGCACAAGGCAGTGAGGGGCAGAGTAGGGCACAGAACGTTGCACTGGGCATTGCACTGGGCGTTGCACTGGAGGTGCAGGGCTCTGGGTTTTGCAAGGGGCGTGCTGTACTCTGGGCGGTGAACAGGGGCGGTGCGGGGCGCAGGGCAGCTGACAGCGTCATCACCCGGGAGCAGCGCGCGCTCCGCCTCAGCAGCCACCGCATCGCGCCGCGCTCAGCGGGTCCCGGAGCTGCGCCTGGAGACTAGCCGCGCTGAGCGGGCTCTCCCCAGGTAAGCGACCTCGGCTCTCAGCTGGAGCTGGATGCAGCTCGCGGGTGCCGGGCGCTTTTTGCAAGTCCCGGGAGCCAGATTACTCTTCGGGGCTGAAGAACAGTATGCATCCCAGAACTGGGAGAGGGGGACCATCCAGCCTCATCCTGCATCCTCCAGGAGGGGAGGGGAGGGGTGAGCACGAAGCCGTAGCTCTGTTGGGAGAACATTAGAATAAACATAACATTGCTTTGAAAGAGCAAAACCTCTGGGTTTTACACAGATTAGGGATCCCGTCCTAATAGGAGTTGCGGTTGGGAAAATCCTTCGACTGCAGGCATTGTCATGAATGCGGAAGTGGATCCCGTGGATTTAGGAAAAGTCACGGAAAGAGAGACAGCAAGAGCTTTCTGAGTCCAGAAGAGACCACTGGGGGATTCCTCATGCTTGGAACCCGGCCTCTAGACTTAATGCTCCGGAAAGAGACCCGCCTCAGCGTCTCCTTTCCCATTTTAAAGACCAGGCTTGGGATATCCACGGGACTCCCTTTCTGCTCCTGGTGGGAAACTGGGAGCACAGGCAAGGCTAGGTGTAAGAATGTGGGTCTCCATCAGAGGACAATGACAGATGGCTGCCTAGGGGTTGGACTTCACCCTGTTGTGCAGTTTCACGTCCCAGTTCAGATTCTTTGGGGTTGGGGGAGTCTTTGGCACTGAACACCCCGCGCCTCAGTTGTTCCATGCTTCCAAAGGCGGAACACAGTGTAACTTGAGTGGAGGAATTCGTGCACAGCCCGCCTTGCTTAGGGATTTATTTCATGTTCTGGTCCTTGTTACCTTTAAATTGGCCCCCAGGCATGCTAGTTTATCCTAGCAGAAGTTTTATGATTTGCTTAAAAAAAATCCCATAAAATCTTATTTTAAAGGGATATTTTGTAAGTAACAATAAAAGAGCTGAAGTATTTTACATCTCAAATCATCCCAAATGTGCTCTTTCCCACTGGCATTTGGATTCGAGGAGGTGGAGTGGGCGGGAGAGAAAAGAGGAGGATAAAATTAGAATAAATTTAACTAATTTGTATGGGAATCATACTTTTTTATTGCTGTTGCCTGCGATTGCAGACTGTTCAGTTTTATCTGTGCTAGTCCTTTATATTCGAGAGGCCCCTGAGCTGGGACACAAGAAGACACAACAACCCCACGTCCCCCATCCCCAATTTATCTGAGAAACAGAAGATGCCTCAGAGTGGAGGTCCATTTGACTGAGGCCGCGGTATTTCGTGGCTGTCCCCAGGAGAGCACAGGCCAGGGATGGGGAGAGCGAGGGCTAGCTGCTGAGTAGCCAGGCTCAGAATCTCTGCTCACTGCTCAGTTTTCTTGTGCTGGAAACCAATCTGCAGGGCTTATTCAGAAACCTCTAGAAGCTTATGTTGTGACTGCTTTAGTAGGGATGCTCCTGAGGTCTGGGACACACAAGTTGAAAGGCATGCTGGGGACTCCAGCAGCTGGCTAGCAACCAGCCTTGCCAACAGAACTATTTCGGCCTGAGAATGGCAGATGGGGACCTTGCTACCAGCTTCACATATGTGTTCCAGCCTCGCCAGCACACGTAATTCTGTATTTCACTAGAAACGACTTATTCTCATCACAAATGGCAGGACATCAGATGGAACAACCCAACTCTCTGAAATAATGGGGCTTGTTTCATAAAGAAAGAAATTTTGCCTCTCGTAGTCAAACCTTTATTGCTCATCCTCAACAGTTAAGGGATGGCTGGCATGTTGAAAGCAGTTGATGGGTTTAGACAAAAAACATCACATGTCCAAGATAAATGCAGTATGCTTTTGCAGCAGAGAATTTCCATTTGTCAAAGAGAGCATCTGGTCACCCCTGGTGGGAAGGCTCTGCCACTTGCCTGTCGAAAGTACTCGGCGTTGACTTTTCAGCACAGCCAGCCAGTGTCCTGTCCTCCCTCTCACAGGAGCGTCAGTATCTCTATTGATCGTCTGTGCTTCTGGCAGGGGCACATTGGCCAGGGACAGATGTCTTTTCAGGACTAAACTGATTTCTATGGCATTAATTGATTTGGGTAATGATTTCTCCAGGGAACATTTCAAAAATGAAGATGATAATTTCCATGTTGTCAAAATTGCTGATGTTCTCTCTCGCCTTCCTTCCCTCCCTCCCTCCCTCCCTCCCTCTCTCCCTCCCTTTCTCCCTCCCTCCCTCCCTCCCTCCCTTTCTCCCTCCCTCCCTCCCTCCCTCCCTCCCTCCCTCCCTCCCTCTTTCCTTCTCTCCTTCCTGGTCCCCTGTCTGTGTGTTTGTGTGCAAGGGGCGAGCACCTGTGGGGGGTACATGTGCGAACGCGTGCGTGTACATTCATTAGAGTGATGACCGGAGATCATTGTCGAGGGGCTTCTTTGGTGGCACTCTGACTTGTTTTTTGAGGCAGAGTCTCTGACTGAACTTGGAGATCACTGATTGATTAAGTTGCTGGTAGTGAGCCTCGGGGACCCTCCTGACTCTGTCTCCTGGATTACAAACACTAACTGCTGTCCCTGGCTTTTTTATGTGGGTGCCATGGATCTGAATTCAGGTTTTCTTTCTTCCTACACTTGAGCTATACTGACTAAGCCATCTCTTCAGACCCTGGGGCTCTTTTAAAAGTTAAATTTACGAATGCCTGCACACATAGTTAGGCATCAACGTAATGTTATCTCATTGCTTTCAAATAGTGCTTTAGTTTTTAATTACGTGGCAGGCAAGTGTCTCTTCCGTGACTTGGTGAAAAGTTCCTGAAGAGATGGGAACGGATGTCTTCTCTCTCTTCTTTTCTGTTGCTTCTGGCAAGTTCTGAAAACATTCCTTACAATCCTCTCCCTAGGGCAGCAAATGCTTCCCTGAAAATCAGTGCTGTCCAACGGACGTGGAACGGGGAGTGCTAACATGCGGGGTTCGAATTGCATTGTTAGTCACACCAGAAGAGAAAAAAGGAGCAGGTGAAATCAATTTTGATATTTTCAGATTTAGTATCTTACATGTCAAAACTAACCAATTAAAGGTTTAGTCAGCATGAAGCACCAATACTTTTTCCTTCTTTTCTTTCCCCATGCTAAATCTTAGATCCTCAAGGGCATCGCAATACAGATCAGCTACTCAGTGTGACCAGTGGCTAGTAAAAGCTAGCAGAGGCCAATGGAATGGCTTAGTGGGTAAGGGTGCCTGCCACCAAGCCTATTGACCAGAGGTCAACCCTGGGATTCACATGGTGGGAGGAGAGAACCAACTCTTGCATATTGTCCTCTGACCTCCTAACACGTATATGTGGAGGCTAGAGGACCGTTCCAGGAGTTCTTATTATTTTGGGACAGCATCTCTCATTGAATCTGGAACGCATTATTTGATTAGACTAGCTTGTTGCCTAGCCCCAAGGCTCCATGCGTTTCCACTTCTTCATCATTGGGATTACAAATGTGTGCCATGTTCTAGCTTTTTATGAACACTGGGCATCAAACTCAGGTTCTGATCGCACAGCAGCACTGTACTGACTGAGCTGTCTGCTCAGCCCTCTGTGTACTTCTCTGCCAGTAAATAAAGAGGACCAGCTCAAATAATTGCCATGATCCTATGAGAATTAGCTGTCTGCATCCAATCTTCCTGGAGACTAGAGGTCTTTATTGCAGAAGCTAGGGATAGGCACCAGCTCTGTCCTAGGAGGTACTTAAACTGTCCTGGGTTTGCTTCAGCCAAGTTTCCTATTTAGTACCTCTACTGAGGAAGAACCAGCAAACTCTTTGCTAAATTCATGCACGTTGAACAGGCAGTGGTTTGCTGTGTGACTCGATACGGTGTCTCTGATCTTTGGGTGCTATTTACCACCAATATGAGTATTATCAGTGTTTAAATATGCTTATTTTGACGTCATTAGATAAGGTTCGTGTGAAATGTAGCTCTCTACACTTGACTCTCGGAACCTGCCTGTTGCTTGAAGCAGCGTCTCGAATGACCTGAACGCGAAGGTTTCAATGTGATTCGGCAGGCCAGTCAGGACTGGAGAGGCACCTACTGGTGCCCCTGGGATCTCCTGCTCAGAATTTCTAATGGAAGACTTTGAAAGAGAGCAGCATTTGTGTCAAAAAACTTCAGGCAAAAAAATTCCAAAGCTAGTTAATGTCTGGAAAAGAATTACTTTTCTTTGAAAATGGAAAAACTCAGGAACCTTCCATTAGGGCTTTATACAATGATTATCCACACATCCACTCACCCACACGTGAACAGTCATATACCCTGCACACCCATGTACTCACAAACACACACACACACATCCATAAACACACACATCCAAACACTTACACAAACCCAATACCCACATATCCATATATCCACACACCCACAAAACCACAAACTCACACATCCCCACACCCACATATCCATATACCACACACCTATATACCCATACACTCATATGCCCATATAGCCACATTCCCACACACTCATATACCCACATATCTACAACCCCCCCCACATACCCATATTTCCACATGTCCAAACACCCACACATCCACATATTAACACAACCACATACCTACACAACCACATACCATAATCCACACACCACACACCCACACATTCATATTTCCATATGTCCACACACCCATCTACCTGCATATCCATACCCACACTCCTGCACACCCATGCATCCATACCCCAACACCCTACCCACATATCTACATACCTGCATATCTTCATACAACCAAACACACATATAGCCACCTGCCCAATTACCCACCTGTACACACTCTCTCATAAACAGACGTACAACAATTTCTTCTTCAATGTTTCCAGAGGAGTAGGGTCAGTCATACATCAAAGATTTAAGAATTCTTTAGGGAGGAGGAAGCTTCCTACCTGTGGCCCTTAGATTTCCAGGTGTTTGTGTGTGTGTGTTTGATGCTGGGCTTGAACTTCAGCTGGCTTCTTATTGTAGCAGCTTTGGAACTTTTGGGTTTGGGGGCTGATCTG